TCTTTTGACTGCTGATACCAGTGGTGTTGATTGTGGATCAAAGCAAGATTAAATCATTGACAGCCTCAAATCTTTCTCCATGTATCATGATGTTGCCTTTTGGCCTAGTGGTGGCCTTCAATACAGATTGCATCCCAACATCAAGAAAATAAAGGTCCTCACCACTGGGCTAAAGATGTTGGATATTTCTTACAGTCTCTGTTGGTTTAGTAGTCTGGCCTTTTGAGCTTTGTTCTATAATTTTTCCTCATTATGGCCTGGAGTCAGCTAGAATCTAGTACTACAGTATTTTTTTTCCCCCTTCTTACTCTACCTGAGCCCAGTCAGAATGGTACACCATCTAGTTTTATTGGTCTATAGATAGATGAGCCCATGTTTTGTGTGGGCATTTGGTCTTGCAGTTTGGTTTTCTCTTTAACTCTTTGGTTTCCTTATTTTGTTCTAGATGAGTAGAGGCTAGTAGTTCTATTTTAGATGGCCTCTCACGTCTTTTTGCTCAAGATGAATAGAGCCCAGTAATTGTATCTTAGATGGCTTCTCACACATATTTAAGACTTCACACACTACTTACACAACTGTGATGTTCGGATGTAAATTTTATTGACTTTGTTGTGCATTTGCTAAGGTATACTATGGTTCTAAACATTCAAACTCTGTAGTACCAGCAGACAGGAGATCAGGAGACATACTATACTGGGGAAGTCCGCAGGCAGGGGCCTCTCTTAAGTCTTGAGGATCAGTGATATTAGTTCCAAGATTTAAGGTATATCTGATTCAGGCCAGAGAGAGCTGGACAGTGAATAAGAACTGAAGAAGAGTTGATTCCTTTGCATTGTGGTGGTGGTGAACAGTACAGAATATCCCATGGGCTTCCAAAAGAACAAACAGTTATGTCTTGGAGAAAGTGCAGACAGAGTGCTCCTTGGAGGCATGCTGCTAGGAGAGACTGTTATTCCTTGGAGAGGGACATCATTCTTGGAAGGGTGGAGAGACAGGGAATGAGAGGAAGACGCTCAACCAGGTGAATTGACACAGTGTGTGCAACAGTGGGCTTGAGTGTGTCAGATTGTGGGAATGGCACAGGGTAGAACGGGGTTCACATCTGTTGTTCATAGGGTTACTGTGAGCCATTCTCGATGGCACCTAACAAAACCAAAAAATTATACTTTGTTTTTGTCTTAAGAGCCCGCCAAAATTATATCCTCATCATGTTGTTGTTGTGTGCCCTCAAGTTGGACCTGACCCATATATAGTTCACCCTCCAGAAGGTTTTCAGAGGCAATAAATAACGTGAGAAGAAATTGCCCATCCATCTCTCATGAACAACTGATGGATTCCAACCTTGTGCTAAACTCCGCTCTGTCCTGTGCCAATCGCACTGTCTCTGACACTCCCATCCCAATTATCCCAGTCACTGAATTAATCCACCTCACAGAGGGCCTTCCTCTCCTGCGCTGTCCCTCCACCCTCCCAAGCATGATATCCCTCTCGAGGGACCGTTCCCTCCTCACAACATGTTCAAAGTATGTTAGACAGAGCCTCAGAATCCTTGCCTCCAAGGAGCCACCCGGTTTAACCCTTTCCAGGACAAATCTGTTTGTTTTCCTAGCAGTCCATGGTATTCTCAATACTCTTCTCCAGCACCATAGCTCAAAGGCATCAATTCTCCTTCTATCCTCCCTGGTCATTGTCCAACTCTCTGATGCATAACAAGTGATTGGGAAGACCAAAGCCTGTATCAGACGCTCCTTAGTCTCCAGAGAGACACCATTGCTCTTCAGTACTTTGGAGAGGTCCCTAAGAGCAGACTTTCCCATGGCAATGCGCCTTTTAATTTCCTGGCTGCTGGTGCCAAGACTGTTGACTATGGAGCCAAGCAAACTAAAGCTGTGTGCAATCTCAATCTCTTCACCATCCATCCTGATGCTGCCGATTGGTCCAGTGGTGAGAAACTTTGTCTTCTTGACATTGAGCCTCAATCCATATTGTAGGCTGCAGTCCTTGACACTCTGCAGCAGGCGCTTCAGGTCCTCCTCAGTTTCAGCAAGCAGGGTTGTGTCATCCGCATAACGCAGATTGTTGATAAATCGTCCACCAATCTTGACCCCACATTTCTCCTCATAGAGCCCAGCCTCCCGGATAATCTGTTCTGCATATAGGTTGAAAAGGTCTGGAGATAGGATGCATCCCTGGCGTACGCCCTTCCCAATTTTGAACCATGCAGTGTTCCCTTGCTCTGTTCTGACAACTGCCTCCTGGTCCAAGTATAAGTTTTGCATTAAAACGATCAAGTGTTCTGGGATTCCCATTCTTCTCAGAGTCAGCCATAGTGTGTTATGATCTACACAGTCAAATGCCTTTGCATAGTCAATGAAACACAGATAGACATTCCTCTGGTATTCCCTGTTTTCAACCAAGATCCATCTAACATCAGCTACAATATCTCTAGCACCATGACCCCTTCTAAACCCAGCCTGGACTTCTGGTAGTTCTCTGTTGATATGCTGTTCCAGTCGTTTTTTGGATAATCTTCAGTAAAATCTTGCTTGCATGTGAAATCAGTGAGATTGTTCTGTAGTTTCCACATTCTGTTGGGTCACCTTTCTTTGGGATAGAAAAACCGCGTGACCTAATCATATATTCCTTTTAAAACAGTTCTCTCCTTAATCTGTTTCAATGCAGTATACATAATTTATCCTATCTTTCTTAGTCTCCTCCCAACCCTGATGTCAGTCCGGTTTTACAGCAGTGGCACTATACAGTATTTGTCCTTCTGTGACTGAGATATTTCAATCAGCATAATGTCCTTGAGGGTCACCCATTTTGAATAATATTACATGAGTTCCTTGTTTTTCAGTGCAGCGTAGTATTCCATTGTGTGAATACACCACTGCTTCTCTATCCATTTGTTGATGGGCACTTAGGTTATTTGTACTCTTTGCTATTGTGAACAAAAGTAAACATGGGTGTGCATATAGCTGCCTGGGTGACGGTTATTGTTTCTTTGGGGTATATTCCCAGTAGTGGAATTGCTGGATCAAATGGTATTTCTATTTGCAACTTCTGAGAAAACGCCATACTGCCTTCCATAGTGGTTGCACCATTTTACACTCCCACCAACAGTGAATAAGAGTTCCAGTTTCTTCACAACCTCGCCAGCATTTGTTTTCTGTTGTCACCAGATTGTATATATTATAGCATTTGCCAATAATTGCCACTGAATCTTATGTATTTTTTAGTATCATCCTTTACTTTGGTTGGGTTCACAAGTGTATATATAGTTTAGGGAGCAATTTCCTCTTCCCCTCCCATTGTTGTGCCCCAAATCCAGTTCCCCTGAAGTCACCAAGTAGCCAACACCAATGCAAGGGCAAGAGGGAATTTATTTCAGATTCGAATCCGGGCCGCGCTCCAATCCATGCCAATATAGCAGGGAAAATGGCCGCGGTCTCGATTCTGGGCTGTCCCGCCTATTTAAAGGGGAAAACCTGCGAAAACAGGGCGATACAGGATTGGCTGATTCAAAGGAAGGGCGCGAAAACAGGGCAGTACTGGATTGGCTGATGTTTGGGTGGGGGCTCTTTTCCCCCTTCCCCCACGGCTTTCAATTTACTGCTCTAGAGGTTTATACATTTTAAAATGACCTAGAGGCTTATACATTTTAAAATGACGTATTGGTTACAAAATGGAGTCTTTCACCATCTCTGGTAATCTCCAAAGAATACTGGTTTTTATATGTTTCATTTTCTTCCTCCTTCTAAAAATGATACAATACAGTATTGATTCTTTGGTGCGTGACTTATTTTATTCAGCATGTTATTTACCAGATTCATCTGTATAATTCTTAAGATTCGTCATCATTCTTTATAGCTGCAGAATATACCATTGTATGTGTATATGTGTATTACATTTAGTTATTCATTCATCCATTGGTCGGCACTTAAGTTTCTTCCATCTTTCTACTATTGTGACTAATGCTGCAATAGAAATAAGACCATTACATATGTACATTAGTACCATAGCTATTAGAGCTTGAGTAGATTAGAAGTGAAGAGGATGGCATAGGATTGGACAGGGTTTACTGTTCATAGGGTTGCTATGGGTTAAAAACCAGCTTGATAGCACCTTACAACATTTTGCTTTTTAAGATACGTGTATCTTAGAAGTGGGATTGCTAGACCATAGATTATTTCTATTTCTAGCTTTTTAATGAACTCATCTCAATTCAACTTTTTGCCCTTGAATCTGAAGTGATTTATAACAAATTGTCCAGTGGGTTTTTGAGAGGCTGTAAATTGCCCAGGAGATTGCTCATCTTTCTCCTGTGTGGCTCTATGGATTCAAACCCCCAGAGAGAGCAGACCCATTTTTGGGTTAGCAGTGTAATTCCCTACTCAATACACCACCAGACTACTTCTCCTTTTTTATGTTCTGTGTAATTTTCCACAGAGGTTGTACCATTTTACAGTCTTGCCAGTGATGGATAAGGGTTCCAGTCACCCCACAACATTACCAGCATCTATTATTTTTTTTAAACTAAGTGGAATTTTTGCAGAAGCTAAACAATATTATGAGGATTTTTTTAAATTTGTTGCCCATTTGAATGTCTTCTTGGTGAAGTATCGTTGATACTCTTTACCCATTTTAAAATTAGATGGTTTGCCCATTTTTGTTGTTAAAGGCTTATATATTTTATTTATATTTTATACAGAATTCTTTTTATTGATGTACTTTTCCATTCATCTTGATTCAACGTGTTTTTCTTAATGCTGCTTCCATGTGAAGGAGCATCCTTGCGTTCCTTCCTGTCAGCTGACAGAACAGTGGAGCAGCCAACACACAAAACTATTGTTTGTGTGTGACTGAAGACCAGGATGATTTTATAACATCATGGGCATTTCACATCCATGCAGTAGGAATTCAGACTCTGCACCAGGTGCTTTTCCTGCTACCTCTTCTCCTCTTCTGGAGAGAGATGAAGGAGATCCTTTGTGAGAGGCATGTTGGCATTCGGAGGTCACTGCCAGAAAGGTTGGGTTTAAATATTTTAGAGATCAACGTCTTACATCATTCCCAAAGACTTTCCCCCCAATATATAGGTTCTCTTTTTACTCTTTTGCTAACATTTATTGATAAACATAAATGTTTACTTTTTATTAGGGTCTAGTCTTTGAATGTTTCCTTTGCTTGTGTATTTGTGGTTTATTGCACTATGACGAAAAGAATAGGTCCCATAATCATGTCCCTGTATCATCTCCTAGAAATTTGATTCATTTTGAGTTAGTATGCATCTTTCTTATCTGCAAAGGTTTATGCCATGACGGTTATTTAAATCCTCATTTAAGAGATTTTGAATTTTGTTCAAAATCAGCTATCAATAGGTGGGTGGGTTTACTTCTGGATTTTCTATTCTGTACCATTGGTCAGTGTGTCTGTCATTGAACCAACCATATCGTTTTGGTAACTGTGACTGTATGTTTTGGGATGGCAGTGTCTGAAACCTCTTGGTTTGTTATTCTTCAGTATTGCTTTGGCTATTTGAGATTTCTTTCCATATGTAGTTAGAGATATAATTTTCCATTTCAGTAAAGTTGTTGGATTTGGATCAGGTTTATGATGTATCTCCAAGTCACTTTCAGTGTATTGTGCTTTATTTATGCTAAGGGAACCAAGAAGCTCACTGTGATGTATTTTGGCTATTTTTACTCCTGGGACAAGATTTCATGACATCTTTATGATAGTAGTTATTCTGGCTATGTAAGATTCCTTAGTTTTAAGTTTGTTGGTATGCTTTTTAGTATTTTGTGAATGAGATTTTGTGCAATGTTTTTTCTTTTGTCTAGTTGACTATATTGTGGAATATGACTATGATGCTGTCCATGACGATGAATTGACTATTCGAGTTGGGGAAATCATCAGGAATGTGAAAAAACTACAGGAGGAAGGATGGCTAGAAGGAGAACTAAATGGGAGAAGAGGAATGTTCCCGGATAATTTTGTTAAGGTGTGTATTCTCAGTTAAATTTCTAATTAAATGTTTTATAAAATTTAAGCATTTGTTAAGAAATACATTTTTTTAAATGAATATGTTTTAAGTACATTGTTACACTGCAGAATATGTGTGCATATGAGAGAGTTAATTACCACCACAATATATAAAACTATTATTGCTTCATGTCCTGGTAGATAGTACCACTGTGTGTGTCTGGCCACCTGACAACATTGTATTAGATGGAGAAAAGATTGAAGTAGTTAATAAATTCATCTCACTTGGATCCCTACTCAACATTCTTGACACCAGTAGTCAGGAAATAAAAGACAAGTTGCATTAGGAAAGTTTGCTCTCAGGCTCCTATCTAGAGTGTTAAAGAAGAATGATGTCAGTCTAGAGACTAAGGTGTGACTGATCCCGGCCATGGTCTTCTCAGTTGCTTACTATTAATCTGAGAGCTAGACCATGACAGAAGAATCGATGCCTTTGAGCTGTGATGCTAGAGAAGAGTATTGAGCTTTTCTCCAGCATGGACTGCCATAACAGGTCTGTCCTGGAGAGAGTGGAACCATGTTGCTCCTTGAAGGGAAAAATTTTGAAACTCAGTCTCAGTCCCTTTGGCCATGTTTCCAGGTGGGATCAGGCCTTGGGGAAGGACATCATGCTCGGAGGATCTTTTGATGCTTCTTGTGTTACTGGGTAGTTTTTCTGTGTAGTCCTTAAGTATTACATCTCGAGAGTTGCTCCCTCACCCCTTTATTTCTTTTAGCTTCAGAAATGACAGTTGGGTTCTTACTTTTTAGTTTTCCAGCTCTAGGTCTTTGCACATTTCATTATAATACTTTGCTTCAACTTCTTGTGTTAGCCTTTAAAATTTTGTGTTCAGTTCTCATACTGCCTTTTCTTGCTTTTGCTGCTTTAGTTTTCTGTCCATTCTAGGGCAAGTTTTAGAGTTCTTTTAGACATCCAGTTCAATATTTTCTTTCTTTTCAATGGCTTTTTATTCTCTTAATATATGATGTCTTTGAAGCCATCCCACAACTGGTTTGGTTTTCAGTCAATGTTCATTACATGAATTCTATTCTAAAAATGATTCTAAATTCCGTTACATTAAATTGAAGGTCATATTTTGCATCTCATAGATTTGCTTTTTGTTTTAATTTTGTTGAGCTTCAGTTTGAGCTTGCATACAGATAATCAGTCAATGGTCTGTTACATAGCTGACTCCAGCTTTGTTCTGATTGGTGATAAAGAATTTCTCCACTGTCTCTTTCATCAGTTGTAGCAGTTTGATTCTTGTGTATTCAATCAGACAAGATCCATGTGGAGATTGTTGTTGTTGTTAAATGCTGTTCAGTTGAGTATGATTCACAGTGACCCTATGAACAACTGATCTAAACCATGTTCTACCCTGTGCCATTCTTCTCGTCTCTGATATATTTGATCCAGTTGTAGCCGCCATCTCATTGAGTGTCTTTCTCTCCTTCATTGGCCCTTTACTTCTCCAAGCATGATGTTGTTTTCCAAAGAATAGTACCTTCTAACATGCCATAGTCTGAGAGACAAAGCTTCACCATCCTTGCCTCTAAGGAACACTCAGGGTGGACTTTGTCCAAGACATACCTGTTTGTCCTTTTGACAGCCACAACATTTTTGTTCTTTTAGAAAAGGTATTTCAGTGAATAATTCTTTCAAGTAAACTGTGGCCTTATTTCTGTTTCCAAAACCATAGTTTCCAATTGGTCTCCAACTTTTGTATTCTGTCCATTAATAATTTTTAATATATCTTGATTGCATGTTCATGCATCAGTTTCGGACTGCAGAAGCTGGTAGATATGCCTAATTTATATAGCATTGGCTTTAGTGTTAGTGCATACATTTGAATTTTGTTGTTTTTGTGTACTATTGGATTGGAACCAACCCATAGCCAACCCTCGAGCTGGTTTTCAGAAGTAGTAAATCACCGGGGAGGAAATTCCCCTCTTTCTCCCATGGAGCAACTGGTGGATTCGAATCATATGCCCTTGGGATTTCAGCACAATTCCTTACCTTTAAGCCACCAGAGCTCCCTAAATTTGAATTATAAACACATTAAAAAGTCTTTTTATATGTGCATGGATATTTTTCTATTACTGACAACATTGTACTTATACTGAGAGACGTTAGTAGTTTAGTTCATTGTCATGTACCAGTGATAACTTGATGTGATTAATGATTATGTACAATATTAACATTAAAGGGAATTGGATCATAGTTCCTTCCTATTATTGCAACTGGTTGATAAAGCTGTAATTATTTAAAAGTAAAATATTATTAAAAAAGTTAAAGCAATGTTGTTGTTGTTGTTATGTGCCGTCGAGTCGCCTGCGACTCATAGCGACCCTATGTACAACAGCGGTAAACTCTGCTCTTTCTGGGCCATTCTCACTGTCTCTGACGCTCCTATCCTGATTATCCCAGGCACTGAATCAATCCACCTCATAGAGGGCCTTCCCCTCTTGCTCTGTCCCTCCACCCTCCCAAGCATGATGTCCTTCTCCAAGGACCGGTCTCTCCTTACAACATGTCCAAAGTATGTTAGACGGAGCCTCAGAATCCTTGCCTCCAAGGAGCCACCCGGTTTAACCCTTTCCAGAACTAATCTGTTTGTTTTCCTAGCAGTCCATGGTATTCTCAGTACTCTTCTCTAGCACCACAGCTCAAAGGCATCAATTCTCCTTCTATCCTCCTTGGTCATTGTCCAACTCTCTAATGCATAACAAGTGATTGTGAAATAGCAGTAGATAATCTACACATTAGTATTTATTATCTTAAGTATTGTAGTCCCCTGTCCTCTTGAATAGAACAACCTGTCTTATGCAGATAATAGAAATTTGCATGATGAAAATGAAATCTCCCTGTTGTAGATCAAGGACTAAAGCTCTCAATATGGATTGCATTTCACCATGAAGTACACAGAAATCCTTAACACAGGACCAATAGGCAACATCATACTAAATTGAGAAAAGATTGGAGTTGTCAATGATTTCATCTTACTTGGATCCACAGTCAGCACCCTTGGTGCCAGCAGTCAAGACATCCAAGGACGAATTGCTTTGAGAAAACTACTTTCTGGGATAAAGAGCAAGGATATTAATTTAAAGAGTAAGGTGCACCTGATCTAAATCATAGTGTCTTTAAGCTTCTTGCTATGTGTCTGAAAGTTGGACAGTAACTAAAGATGACTGAAAAAAGAATTGTTATCTTTGTGTTGTGGTAGAAGAAAAGTATTAAATATCCCTTGGGCTGCCATAAATACAAATAGGTCTATCCTGGAGAAAGAATGCTCCTTGGAGGCAAGGTTGGCGAAACTCCATCTCACATACTTTTGACATACTTAAGGAGGGTGTAATCCTTGGAGGTCATTGTATTTGTAAAGGTGGAGGGTCAGGCTAAGAGTGGTAGATCCTTCATGAGACAGATTGACACATTGAATTTAACAGTATGTGGACTTGAGTGTATAGCTAAGGATAGGTAAATGTTGTCTGTAAACACAGAATAGCCAGAAACATAATATGCCTATGTTTTATTGACAGCAAAGACTGTGTGGTTTTAATTAATTTGGATAGTGTTATGAAGAATGGAAATTTTGAAAGCTTAATTTTTCTCAAATGGAACTTGTACATAGTCCAAGAAGTAGTGGTTTGAAGAGAACATGGGAAATAGTGAATTAAAAATCAAGAAAGATGCGTATCAGGCATATATCTTTTCTCCATAGTTTTGTAGTCTTTATGATGAACTAAGACTGAGTGAGAAGCTAGGGGGACATCAGTATGGAAGGAAAACTCATTAACAACCGGTGATGTGCAGATGGTGTAATTTTGCTTGCTGAAAGTTAAAAGGACATGAAGTATTTAATAATGAAGATCAAAGACGATGTGGATTTCAGTATGGAAAACCCCACCCTAAAGAAAAAAAAATCCTCATACAGGTCCAATAAGCGGTATCATGATACACAGAGTAAAGACTGAAGTTTCAAGGATTTGATTTTACTAGTATCCACAATCACCATCCATGAAAGCAGCAGTAAAAAATCTAATATATAATTGCCTTGGACAAATTGCTCCCAGAGCGCTTTTTAAAGCTCTAAAGAACAGAGAAGTCACCTTTAGAACTAAAACACACCTGACTCGCTTTGGTACTTTCAGTCATATTATATAAATGCAGAAACTAGACACTGAATAAGGAAGCCCAAGGAAGAACTCATAATTTTGAAATTTGATGTTGAATATTTAATATACCATTGACTGCCAGAAAAATGCGTGACTCTGTCTTCAGAGAAGTACACCTGAAATATTTCTTAGAAGCAAAGATAGCAAGACTTTCTCTTAAATGCTTTGGACACAATATCAGAAGGGTCTAGTCCTTGGAGAATTACTTCATACTTGGTATTATAGGTGCCTGTTATTTGGTACACAACAGCTACATAGCTATGAATTTCATTCTCAACAAGGTGGACTGACATAGTGACTCACAGCAGGTTTAACATCACCAAAATGGCAAAGGATCAGGTAGAGCTTTAATTCTTCTGTGCAAAGGGTTTCTGTGAGTGGAAGCCAACTGCTTGACATCTACTATAGATATGCACGTATGTTCAAGTCTACTTTGTTCAGAAAAAATTAAATTGACTTTGACTTGGCACTACCTGCCATCTGATTTCTGAGAATGTAAGTCTTTATGGAAAAAGTTTGCCCAACTTTCTTCCAAAGAGCAGCTAGTGGTTTTGAATCTCTGACTTTATTTTGTGAATGAAATGGTTTTTTAAATATTAATTTGTGTATAAAATTTGTATACATTGTATTTTTAGTTAATGTATATTGTGTTTCCCATATTCCTTCATTCACATTGTATTTCACATGATCATTCCCATATACTGTTTTATAGAGCTAAAAATGTTTGATCTATGCCCACTCTGACTTCATCTTTTAAGGTCCCCCTTGGATCTTTCTTAATTCCTTCACCCCCTCCCACCA